AAAAAGTAACGCGACCGCACCGCATTTTCTTGTTAGTAACGGTAACAGCGTTGTAACAATAGAAATAGTAATTAGTTAGATTACTCGTTACTGAAAAAAGTAACGCCGTTAGTAACGTCGTTATTCCCATCACTGCTGCTAACAAAGAGCAGCACGCACAACCTAAAACTGGCTCCTTGCTCAACTGTGCGTGATGTTGAGACACGACGCTGGTTCATCAGCTTCTAAAGCATGCTTGTTTGATATATCTACACAAATATGTGTTTTTAGCTAATATCGGTCCCAAAACTCGACCCTGTCACATGTTCAGATATCTGAGATGTGTGACTCTGACACCACATCCCTCTGAGCCTGCAGCAAACTGAAGCTGGTTTATGGTTGGTGGATATTTTGGTTGTCACTTTTAAAGGTGTGACCTCCTGTGGGGTAACACCGCAGCTTTAATGTGTGAGAGGGGTGCACGTGAACCACATGCCGTTTGGTAGTAAATCTGATAATCAGATAACACCGGCTGCAGGAGGGAGGGGTGGGGGTGCCTGAGCCATGCTGTCTTAGCTCGCTGCTCGGCTCACAGCGAACACGTGAAGCTGAATCTTTGGCTGGCGAACAGCAGGAAACATGTTTCCAGAACAGGAGCCCACGAAAGCACCGTCAGTGCAGATAACGTCACTATTATCATCACTGAGACTGACAGATATGTGACATCACCGGGATGATCATGTGACGATGTTCGGTGCTAGGCCCACACTTTTTTATGCAGTGTTATTTGTTCCGATTATTCCGATTTTTTGTGTGTGTCACCACTTCTATCCAAACAGGAAGTGACTTGGCAACTGAATGCCACAGACACTACGAGGATGGACACATTAAACTTTTCTCTATTTTGAGGAGAGAAAGGGAGACTACCAATGAGAGCAAAGATTATTGTTGATTAACATATGACCTGGAGCTTTACGTAGGCAACTGGAACTTTATAATGAGCTTTTCCAACAACATTCTGATGTATTTATTCATCTCTTGTATTTTCTGGTTTTCCCTAAACGAATACGTATACATAATGGAGCCGTTTTTATATATTGAAGCTTTTTGTTTGTGGACTTGGTTTCATGACTTGCTGATCTCACTGTGTTTTTTCCATTTTTAGCTGTGGAGCTCCAGCTGGACCTGTGCACATTACACTTCTTATTCTTTATTTTGCTCAGCTGAGTTATTTTCCCTTTCATAAGGACATGGTATGGCATTTTATTTAGCATACACAGAGTTTATTGTTATTTTTTGATGAATTTATTTAAATCATGTGGCTTTTTTTAATTAGATGCATGCAAACTGAGTTCAAGTGTAACTTTTTTTCTTCTGCGTTTTTAATTGTTGGGCTTATTATTCTGCTTTCAGCTTCGAGCTGCTGTCTTTAATTTTTTTGTAACACATAAAGTTTCGTTTAAATTCACACATTCACATCTGGCTGTTTTGGCTGTGAACAACGACAGGAACAGAAATGTCGGTGACCTGAGAGGGCTATTTCCGGCGTCTTTTGCCAGGTGTGATCTACCTGCGCTAAAGCCTGGCTGTGGGTGTGTCCCGGTGCTGCTTACCTTCTCTCGCTTGTCCCAGCTGTACTGCTTCGGAGCCTCCTCGCTGTTGTTGCCAAGGGGAACCGCGTTGCCCGTCGACGCAGTTTCGGCGGAGGTTGTGGTCGGCGCCCGTTCCTCTTTTTCCGGCGACTTTCTCTTGGATTTCTTGGAGAAGAAGCAGCCCATGGTGGCCTCGAAACGACGGGGCAAGCGGGAGCGGGTTTGTGTGCTCGGAGAACGCGGTTAATGCGGCCGAAGCTCAGGCTGGAACTCTTCGCTTGGCTCGGTATTTTTCAGCTTCCCGTTTCACGGCTTCGTTTCGCAACCAATCGAAACCCCGAGGGTCGCTGTGTCAGCCAATCACAGACGTGAGCATAGTGACGAAACCACGCTCACAAGGGGCACGCTCACAAGACGTTTAAGGACAAGTAGGAAAAAGGAGCTCAGAACCAGTCTAACTCTGATTTATGTTTGCGAAACACGCACATGAAGAGTGTGGAAGGCCAGAAGCTCTAAAATGAAATATTTAATTAATTAAATAAATCATTAAATATGTTATTTATTAATTACAATTGGAAATACATATTACACAATTTATTAAATGTTTTAGATGGAATGAATGGCCATTTAATTCATGATTTATGTATTAAATTATTTAATTTATTAATTACATTGTTTCTACTCTGATTTGATGTTTTTTGTCACGGTGCAGATTTCTGACATTTTTTGTAAATTTGAGCATATAACAATTTGATTATTTGTAACAAAAGAGTGTGAAACTTCACTTAGACTTGTATTTCTAACCAAACCACGTTATGTTGTGTAGCCTTCTGGATTTTAAACTTATTATCCAGGCTATACAGTATATAAAAATCAAAATTCACATCTTTTATGTAACTGAAATGTTTAATTATCTGGGCTACAGAAAGTAAGAAATTTACAGACTATGTTCATAAGAAACATGTTTGCACTTACTGTATTTTAACCATATATAATGCATATTACAGGATGTAACACCTGCATATGTGTAAAGAAATGACTGTGATTTTGCCACCCTAAGAAAATGTTTCTAGCTCCACATCTACACCTAAACAGAGGTGGGCAGCACCCACCCAGGTGAAAACTAAAAACTCTTATTTTTACAGAGTACTGCAAAGGCAGCAGCAGTGACACCAGGCCACGCCCCTGAGGCTGCTTCCTTCACACCAGAAAGCAGCTTCCACAAACATATTATTGTGATGTAAATAATTACCGCTGACATGAAAATCATGTAGTTCAAAGCTGCTGCTTTGAGGCCGCCATGTTTATGTGCTGAGGTCTAACTGTGCGCAACCAAAAACCACACACACACAGACACACACACACGCTCGCGACAGATTAGCCTGCAAGTTAAGCCACAGGCCACTGTAATTATAGGTAATTCTCCTCTCCCTGCTGAAGCTTCTCTCATTAATTGATCATTAATATACAAATTGTCATGACCACTGATCAAAGCCCATCAATGGCTCACTGGATCAAGTTCTGATCAGGTTCTGATCCACTGTGGCCAAAGCGCTTGCTCATCAGGGCTCATATCATTGTTGGGTTTTCTCTGTCTTATTGTAGGCCTTGATTGTTTTTTTCTAAAACATCGCTATGGGGATAGATTTTAATTCCAGGAATGAGCTGACATTGTTTAATGTGTCCACTTCACTTTCATCCACATGGGAGGAAGTCCCATGCTCATTAGATCTTGTGGTGTCATATTACTCCAGTTTATTGTGGTAATCTAGTAGCATGAGGTTAGCCGATGTCTTTGTAGCTCCTGTTCTGCCTGCAGCCTGCTGGAGTAGAGATGCTGGGAACCCTGTGCATCAGGAGGAATTATAGAAGTTCAGTTTCAGCATCATTCACACAAAAGCAGAAAGTTCAAGGAAACAGCTCCAGATTTCTCAGATAGCCAAGGAGTGACTACCTACTACTATAAGCTGTGTAGAATAATAATGAACAGAATGATATAATCAAATATGCAAAGAAGGAGTAGGACCCTCCACTCCCACTCACACAAAAACACAGCCCCATTCATTTACCCGTCAATTTGTAAAAACCAGGAAGATTGAAAATGAATAATATATGCACAATAATAATAAAAGAAAGTGCTGGATAAGATTAAAAAGAAGCAAAAACCTGCTTTCTGATTGCTTGCTTGCTTGTTTGCTTCCTTAAAGGTGCTTTTCGCAGTGACCCTCTGCAGACACTGACTGAAACTTTGACCACCAAGGGGCAGCATCTGTAACATTTTCAGAGTGTGTTGCTGTCTAAAGTTTTTATATTGGCCATTTCTCAGTACTCAAGAACGCAAGTCTGTACTTGCATTCTTGCTATAAGTTCACACAGGAGTCCATACTTCCCAAGAACATAACGCAATCATTCTACAATTGGAATGGCACTGTACTTGATGACATCACAACTCCAGAGTTTGTTTAATATTTGCAATGGAAATTACACATTATATAAAAAATTACATCCTGTCTACTAGGCTTCATACAGTTACACAGAAAGCACAGGAACAAATAAAAAACTGAAATAAACCAAACATTAACATTAACAATCAATGAAAGACTTGGATGCAAAAATTGTGATTGGCTCCAATCAGCTCGCTAGCTCCTCCATTCTGGAAACACTGTCCAAAATGTAGCTAAATCCAGTGGAGTGGTTTGGTTTAAACTAGATTAAAACCAACAATGGTCTTAAAAATTATATATTTTAAAATAAAATAATTAAACATAATAACTCTAAATGGGTTGAGCTACACTATGGACAGTGTTTCCAGAATGCAGTAGCTAGCTAGCTGATTGGAGCCAATCACAATTTTTGCATCAAAGTCTGTGATTGGTTGGTTTTGTGGCACATTTATAAAGGTGAACTGAGTGAGAGGGGCTGTTGTGTATATGGATAATAGCAAACACTGAAATACATTTCTTGCATGCAGCAATAAATTTTGTTCGCTCAAATTAAGCTTTTATTCACTCAAAATATTTCTTCCTCAAAATGTAACATTTGTATTTGCAAAAATTATTTACATGCGCTCAGAATAGAGGCACAAAATAACGCCATACCAGTCAGAAGTTCTCACCTGAAAACAGTCATAACGAGCTATGTATCTAACTGGTAGTAAGGAAGGGACTGATGGAGGCTGCGGGTAGAGGTGGTGGGGGGAGGTGGACCTCGATGAGCAGTGTGAGAACCAAGCTCACGTCAAGGAGTGAAAATTTCAACTAACAGTGGAAATGTGATATTTGACTGCATACAGTTTTATCATGTTTATTGTGTTTACACCTGTTTCATAAACGGTGTTGGTGGCGGGTAGGATTAAAGAGGAGGAGAAAAAGTCGATCCTTGTATTTTCACGCTGGACACTGGAGGGTGGAGTAGGTGGTGCAGCTGCTTCCACTGCAGACACATCATGTGAGCAGCTTCCTCCTCTGCCTCAGCCCGCTTTCAGCTGCGCGGTCGTCACAGCGCAGGCGCAGTGACTCAGGCGCGTGGCTGAGAGACCTCCTCGGTGCTCGCCGCGCTCGTCAGAGGCTCAGCTGATGGCGCAGAGATGATGGCCGCATGGATCCTCCTGAGCTGTGCTTGGGCACAGGGCATGCGCGCGGAGGACTTCGCGATGGAGGAGCTGGCCACGGAGAAGGAGGCGGAGGAGAGCCACCGGCAGGACAGCTTTAACATGCTGACCTTCATCCTGCTGCTCACCCTCACCATCCTCACCATCTGGCTCTTCAAGCACCGGCGGGTCCGCTTCCTGCACGAGACCGGGCTGGCGATGATCTACGGTGAGCCTCGCCTTTACGCTTAACGGCACGCTCGCGCACGCCGACACCGCACTCTTTGCGTGAGACGTGAGACGCGGCCGTTATTTTTAAGACAGTGCAGAGCCGCCGACGCGCGTGCGCGTTTCACATCGAGCTGCCGGTTCGGTGTCAGCGCGCTCCTGTGCGCGCACCTCTCTGACTGAGCAGAGATCAGCCGAGCAGCTGCTTCAAGAGTCCAAGTGACACCAGCCGGCAGTCACATCACACTCATCACACACACACACACACACACACACACACACACACACACACACACACACACACACACACACACACACACACCACTTATAACAACCCTGTTATAACCTTGCTGGCGGTAGAATACTGTGTGTGTGTGCGTGTGCGTGCGTGTGTCTGTTTGTGGGCTGATTCGGAGCCTCAGCCCAGCCTGGTTCTTCTGCTGAGGCTGCCCTGCCTCAGCAAACATGGAGAATGATGACATGAACAAAGATCATCAGATAATGTGCGAATGTCTCTGATCACCTGCAGTGATTAGTTAGAAGGCCTGCTGGTGTGACACATCTGCACGGTCCCAGTGATGGAGGCCGTCCGTCCAGCGTGTCACTCATTAACCACACATGTCCTCCGAAGAAGGCAGACTTTGATTTGTTTGGACCTAAAGCTCCAAGGCAAACATGGCTCTGGTGATTTTCCAAGTGTGGTGTCTGTGCTGCACAGGGTCAAAAACAGGAAACAGGCACTGCGCTCACAGCTGACGTTTGCTTCTTTAACACCGTTTCATGTTTCATTACTACTTATACATGCACACCTCATGTACTAATATCTGTCAGCCATACTCTGCAGTTAATTGAGTGACGTTTAACTTCTGGTTAGGCGAACAAGTTCACACAGGAACCTCAGACCATTTAAAGGGTGCTGGAGGAAGCAGGTGGCCCCCGATTTAAAGTTATTGTGGGCTGAACTGACGCTGTATTTACTGTAACCTCACAGGAGATGTGTTATTGGTCAGAAGATGTAATTAACATGGTCCAGAGGTGCAGTTCAGGGACTCTGGTTAGCTGAGGTGAAGCCGAGCAGACAGCTACAGTTAACTGTGTTGCCATCCACCTGTCAGAGAGACTTTTACACAAAAACACACCCTGAGTAGCCTTGATTATGTAATGTTATCCATTATTCTTCTACTCATTCTAAGGTCTGGTTAAGGACATCTTGTTCAGAATTTCTGACCTAGAGACTCATTCTAACCATTATCAGTGTGTGTAAGCATGCTGCAAAATATCTCTCTGCACTCAACATGCACCTGCAATATTTCAAATCCAGACAATAACGCGGAATGAAGCTCTCAGCCTTTAAAATACGGAGCGCCAACTCGTTTATGAGCACATTTGCATAGTGTATAAATAAAATGAATAAAACAGCTTTATTTAATGATTAACATAAAAAGTCAAACATTTTCAACACTAACACTGGTCAAAGAGGCCACGCCCCTAAAACACAAACTTGGGTTACCTACCTAGTTTATCAAGGTCAAGATGAACTTTATTATCTCCAAGGGGCGTTTGCTTTGTAGCCACCTGCATAAATAACACACATAACACATACACCCAAAACACAAACCACATAACACAATCTAAAAAATTAACAGTGGTAGGAACAAGTGAACCACGAGGCAAAGAACCTCCACCCTGAAGCCAGTGAGACAGTCGGTGTTCCAGTCTGCTGGTACTGATCCCCTATGGTTGGACAGAAGCTTAAAGAAGCCCTGAGTGCTTTAACATGAGCATCTATGGGAACTCCTCCACCCTCCAGCACTCCAACATAAGTACATAAATCTGAAAAACAGAGCCGATCCCAGATCACTTTACACTGCAGTGTATAAATAAAACTGAAGGGTTGTTGTTGAGTCCACCGGTTAAACCTGTGATAGTGTAAGAAATGCTGCTGCAGCTTCATGTTGTTGACGATGAGACGCAGCCTCAGACGTTTGTCCTGATTTTACTTCCTGCTGAAAATCCGGGAACAGAAAAAGTGAAACAGCAAGTGGTTTAATTCTATATGTGTGTGTATGTGTGTCTGTGTGTGTGACTGTGTGTGTGTGTGTGTGTGTGTGTGTGTGTGCGTCTGTGTGTTTTTGTGTGTGTGTCTGCATGTATTTGTGTGTGTGTCTGCAGGTGTGTGTGGGTGTCAGTGTGTGTCTACATGTGTGTGTTTGTGTGTCTGCATGTGTGTGTGTGTGTCAGCATGTGTGTGTGTGTGTTTGTGTGTGTGTGTCTGTTTGTGTGTGTGTGTGTGTGTGTGTGTTCTTCAACCTCCTAAGACCCAAACTCTTCCACGGCATGCATTTTTAATTTCTCTTTGATATTTGGTCATATTGGGGCCCGATGAATGTAAAAACAAAGAATTACCAGATTTTTTTTTTTTTTACCTTAATTTTGTTTTGAAGAAAAATAGGACCATATGAGGATATTCGTTTAAAATTTTGATAGAACAGTAGCAATATAATGTCCTTGTAAGTGGATATCAGGCTCTTGTGGAGCAAAGTTGAGTATTTTGGTCTAAATAACCCAAAATGTGATGTCCGCATATGTGGACGCCAGGTCCTAGGAGGTTAAAGTGGCCCCTTTGCTTCCTGGACATGTATCTATGAAAACAGACTGATGGAAAATCAGGTCCAGCAGTCTGTGACTGAGACCAGAAACAGAGACACGAGGTCCCCACTAACCTTTCGGTATTTCTGTTTGTTTCTCTCAGGTTTACTGGTTGGCGTGATTCTGCGTTATGGCATCCCAGCCAACAGCTATCACAACAAGACGCCAGCAAGCTGCTCGCTGAGGGAGGGACCCACCAGCACACTGCTGCTGAATGTCAGCGGGAAGTTCTTTGAGTACACGCTGAAAGGAGAGATCAACTCCCGCGAGATACACAACGTGGAGCAGAACGACATGCTGCGAAAGGTGAGGAAGGCAAGGAAGTACGCTGGCATCGCTCACATCCGCCTGGCAACTTCAAACTTTGTGTCTTTTCCAGGTGACCTTTGACCCCGAGGTCTTCTTCAACATTTTGCTGCCTCCCATCATTTTCCATGCGGGCTACAGTCTGAAGAAGGTAAGAGTCACCTGCTGTGTGTGGACGGGTGGGGCTCTGACTGCTTCACCTGTCTCCATGTTTACATTTAAAGCATAGCAGGTGATGCTTTCACAGCAAGGTCACATCTAACCTGATAACATAACGCACTCATGAACGATATCAAGGTTACGCCAGAATAAATAGGCGGAGCCACACAGACATCCACCAGCAGCTCAGGTGCTCCAGTCTGACCAATAACACTCCAGGGTGGGTCGCTAGGAGGCAAGTCTGATGAAAAATATCAGCCAATGAAATTGGAGTGAACCTGGCCATCTTTCCTGATCACCTAACCGACTTTTCCAAAAATCTTTCATGAACCCAGAAGAACCTGCAGGTAAACACACCTGCCTTCATCTGTACTGTGGTGCTGCTTATGTGTGCTGTGCAGCTGAAGAGTATGTGAGCAGCATTTTGTGCTTTTCTTGTGAAATTGTTTTTCATGCTGGATCTGCTGATTCAGCAGGAAACAGGAAACAGGAAGTAAGAAGAGCATTTTTGTCTGGCGTTGCTGTTTGGTTGATGTGTGAGTAAGGAGGGTTGGATGCAAACAGAACTGAGCGCCGACCTGTACAGGCTCATGTCCTTTAGAAACCTGACTCAGCACTTAGAGAGCTGAGCGCGCTCCGTGCGGCAGCCAGCCGCAGAGGCCTCTGATTGGCTGCCTGGCTGGGTGAGTGTGAGGAAGAACCACATATCTTCTTCTCTTTCTTCTTCTTGCTTCTTCCAGAGACACTTCTTCAGGAACCTGGGCTCCATCATCACCTACGCCTTCCTGGGCACCGCCGTCTCCTGTTTCGTCATTGGGTGAGTAAGAGCCAGGTGTGACATCACCTTCGGTTTGCTGCTGCGTGACTGACGTGTCATACCTGTTCCCTCCGCAGGAACCTGATGTACGGCGTGGTCAAGCTGATGCAGGCAGTGGGTCAGCTGACGGGGAAGTTTTACTACACTGACTGCCTTTTCTTTGGCGCCATCATCTCTGCCACGGACCCAGGCATGACCACGAGCACGGGAAGGAGGACGGCGTGCATGAGTGTGAACGCGAGCAAGGTTTTCAGTGTTTTCTTTGTGTCTCCGCAGTGACGGTGCTGGCCATCTTTAACGAGCTGCACGCTGACGGGGATCTGTACGCGCTGCTTTTCGGCGAGAGCGTCATGAACGACGCCGTAGCCATTGTGCTGTCCTCGTGAGTTCATGCCTCGCTTTTCCAGCTGTGGTTTCTAGTGACCACCTGTGGGGGCTGCAGGCAGTGCTCTGGCTCCCCCTGCTGGGAGATCACAAGTCACCTTTGACTCGTGTTTTTGTGTTTCAGGTCCATCGTGGCGTACCAGCCGGCCGGCGCCAACACGCACCAGTTTGATGCTTCGGCTTTTTTCAAGTCTGTGGGGGTTTTCATTGGCATTTTCAGCGGCTCCTTCGTGATGGGCGCGGCCACGGGAGTGGTCACCGCTCTCATATCCTTTCAGAGAAGTCAGCGCCCACCACACGACCCCCCTCACCCCCACCCTCCGCCCAAGTACAGCAGATATTCACATAAACCTGAAAAACACACGTGAACTCCTTTAAAAGCTGAACCCAGGTGAGCGTCCAGTCCTGGTCCCTGTATCCAGCTGTGATCTATCAGCAGTTTAATATCTGTGTAAACTTTCGGCCTCACATCAGCAGTTGGAACAGATGTGAGCTCAGGTGAGAGCAATTGAACAGTCCTTTTTCCAGCTGTGATTTTTCTGGGTCAGATTATTTTCTAATAGTCAGATTTTAGCTCCCTGAGTGGAGGTCGTGGTTGTGAGGTGGACAAACATCTGTATAATAATCTGTATTGTAATTGTATTGTAATAATTGTAATGTATAATAACACTGATCACACAAATTTAGGTCCTGAGAGAGAGGTCCTGAAGCAGGTTGTGAGGATGAGTGGGTGGGTTTTAAAGGTGGATGCTGAGAACCTTTGACGTAGAGGTAAAGACGTACGTGTCTTCAGTAAATATTGTAAGCTTACTATACAGGACAGATCATCTGACTGCGGGGGTGGGGCTACGTTCACATTTGCCAACTGGTGTCTCAGTCCTGTGTTTACGCTCTTTGACCGGAACCTTACGTCACCAAGTTCACCAAGCTGCACTGCTTCCCGCTGCTGGAGACGGCCCTCTTCTTCCTCATGTCCTGGAGCACCTTCCTCCTCGCCGAGGCTTGCGGCTTCACAGGTGAGCTGACCTGTCACAAACATCAGCCTTGCCATTTGACCATCACCGGGCGACTCGCTTCACATGCAGCACTTCGTCCTGTTCACAGATTTACACTGTTCCGTTCCGCCCCACGCTTATCATCAGAATACATCATAAAAGGTTATTCATAGAGCGCTTATACAGGAAACAGTCAGCTGTAAGGATGTGTTACAGGCACACTGTCAAATCAGATCCAAACAGCACCATCCACTGCTAACAAGCTAGGAAACGTCACCTGAAAATGTAGAAGAACATTTTACAAAAATCAAAACTCCATTTATTTCCATCCAAGAAAAAAAGAAATCTGCATCAACACAATAGATATTCAGCTGTCATCCATTGACTGTCTGCGATGGCTGTGGGGGACACAACCTGCACAGGTGTGAGTGAGAATTTCTGCTTTATCCATGCTTTACGTTCACTGCACCTCAGAAAGATTACACACCTGCTTAAAGCATCCTCACAGATTTTGTGTTACGCCCCCCCACACACACACACACACACAGATGTGGTCAGGAGTCAGAATGGATTCAGATATTCAAAATAATCTGATGGCTGAGGTGGGAGGACAGTGGTGCAGTGGTTAGCACTGTTGCCTCACAGCAAGAACGTTCTAGCTTGGACTCCACAGCCACTACTATGTGGGCGGGGCCTTTCTGTCTGCATGTTCTCTCCGGTTATGCCAACTTCCTGCCACAGTCCAAACATGCCGTCAGTGGGGTTTTAACTGGTGATTCTAAATTGCCCACAGGTGTGAGTGTTTGTCTGTCTCAGGCTAGGCCAGGTGTCCCCCCTCCCCCCTCTGGGATAAGAGGAAGAGGATGGATGGCTGAAATTTGGCATTGTGTATTTCAGCTGGCTGTGTGTGTGTGTGTACGTTGTCCTGCAGGTGTTGTGGCCGTGCTGTTTTGTGGCATCACGCAGGCTCACTACACCTACAACAACCTCTCTGAAGAGTCCACAAAGCGCACCAAGCAGGTATGTGAACATGTGACCCCACCCCCGCGCATGCCCCCCCAGCCATCTGGCGCCTGGGCCAGATGGTGCCTGCCCGATGAGCCGGCTGTGACCTTAATTTCCCTCCCTGACTGCTCAGTTCCATGTGGGGGGGTTGGTCTGAGGGACAGGATGAGATTAGCAGGAACACAGTTTGGATCTGTACATGGCACTCCCATTGAAAAAGGGGCGGTGTCACGGAGCAGCAGGAAGTTTACTGCCTCTCAGACAGAGTCATTTTAGGGAACAAACGGCGCACACACCCCTGGATCCCTCCCAGGAGGCCTGGTTCAATATACATTTCTGTTTTTAACCTTTAATCTTATCTTATCTTATCTTATCTTAAACTTGAACACAGTTTTTATTCTGTGTTTGTCTGCGTCAGCTGACTAAAGCTGGAATCACGTCATTTATATTTTTATTTTCTCACACTTAGTTTGGATAGAGGACAGTATAGTTCCGTTTTTATTGTTATTTTACTTAAATAAAGTTTTATCACACCAGTAATAACCCTGAAGTGGGCGACAAGATAAAATTCATACACAGAAGTGATAAACTGTTAAATCGTCTCACTAACACTACAAATGTAATATTAGAAGTTTCTTCAGATAAGCAGCTGAACTGAGATTAACTAAACATTTCTCAGTTGGTCTCCAGTTACTGCAAAGAGTGGATCATTATAGCAATTCATCATTAAATGCAACATTATCTGTTCTGCTAACCTAAAGGCATGATGGGGCTCATCCTGTTTACTGTGTAACCACATTCACATATTTTATGATTCTAAATGATGATGAATATTTTTAAACTGCAGCTTTTTGAGGTTCTTCATTTCCTGGCTGAGAACTTCATCTTCTCCTACATGGGCTTGGCTCTATTCACCTTCCAGAATCACATTTTCAGCCCCGTCTTCATCATTGGAGCCTTCGTATCCTTTCTGAGCTTCTCTCATTGTCAGAGTAGTACCTGCAGCGCTGAGAAAGCTACCTGCTGCACCCTCATTTCCTCTTTTTTCACATATTGGTCACGCTTGTGTGTTTCAGATCATCCAACTAATGTTAATATTAGACAAAGACAACTGGGGCAGTTTTTAAAAGATGATTTCAATTTTCAAGGGAAAAAGGGTTATGTAAACCTACCTGCCTCTGTAATCCTTTCCAGACTGATAGAGGTCAGTGACTTTGTTTCTCAGCTGTTTCTTTACATCTTTTAGCCTGCTTCACTTTGTCAGACAACTTCTATTTTGTGATTCAGCAGCTTTGACAGTGATCAGGCCTGGGTGTGGCAGTGACACTGAACAGATCTCAGATCTTTGTCTAGTATTAAAGTTTATTTGATCATCTGAAACATGTACGTGAAACACTAAGAAACCAGGCAGGGCAGTAGATGGAGCTCAGTACGCTCTAGTCTGATTTGTCCCTTTTGATATTTTTGTGTGTGACCTCACATATACCACAAACATCCTTTCTTTCCAGCATTAAAACTTCTTAACCCGGGCCGTCAGATTGCCATTTTCATCGGAAGAGCTCTGAATATCTACCCGCTCTCCTTTCTTCTCAACCTCGGTCGAAGGCACAAGATCAAAGGAAACTTCCAGCACATGATGATGTTTGCAGGTATGAGGAGCGCTTCCTGTCTCTGTAGTTCTAGCTCATCGTGTCGGGCTGGGTGGTTTCAGGATCTCTTTCTGCAGGTTTGCGTGGGGCGATGGCGTTCGCCTTGGCCATACGCGACACAGCTACGTACGCCCGTCAGATGATGTTCACCACTACGCTGCTCATCGTCTTCTTCACCGTGTGGGTGTTTGGAGGTGGAACCACACCCATGCTGTCCTGGCTGCATATCAGGTTAGAAAATCAAAGTGCTGCACTGCCTTCACGCCTGTGAATAATAACAGAAAATTTTAAATATTCGAAGAAAAGAAAAGGCATGACCTGACCTGCTGAGGTCACCTGAAGCAAGGTGTGAGTGGTGGTTGAAACACCTGGGAAGAATCTCAGAGTGGACTGTGACAGTCGGTGTCATAGGCCACCACTTTTGGTCAATGATGACCATTTACAGTGGACATAGATGGGCTCTTTACTCCTCTTTCAGACCATCTGTGTCCTCTGTCCAAAAACATTGATGTCTTCGGCGAGTGGCCTTTGACCTTTGCAGTGCAGATGTGCAGCTGAGTGTTGTGTTGTGCCATGTGTTTGTGGAGTGGCTGTTTGGTTTCTCCTCCCTGCACTGCAGACACTTTATAGGATTACTGTGGCTCAGCCCATTGTAACACTCTGTAACTGTGTGTGTGTGAGAGAGGATGAAGTGTGTCTCTTTTCTATATGCCTAAGTTTTGTTGTTTAGCAGTGTGTTTCATTCTGTATTTTTGTTTATTTTATTTCTAAGATAAATCTGCAAAATTTCAGAGACGAGAACTAAAATCTAGGACTGTGTGTGAATTTTATACACAGGTAGAATATCTGCACATTTAATCAGGTTTTCCAAGTTTAAGGAACCATGATGTTTCCAAGTCTTTGTATGCAGTGGTGAACATCATGGCACTGATGTACATTACTGAGACCTCCGTAATTAAATTGTTGCAAATTTGACTCTATTCACACTTTTTAAATTGTGTTTTTAATGCAAGTTGTAATTAGTTGTTAGTTAGATAAGTTTTCTATTATTATACCTAAATTGTATTATTATACCGCTTCTGCATCCTATGACTACATCCTTAATGTGGTTTGTAAACATGTGAATGTGGGTGTAAAAGAGGAAATTATTAATCTGGACGTTTTTAGTGGGAGAAACTAGGCCACTGAATGAACAATAGAGTCATGCAGGCCTGAAGAAGTCACCTGGTTGATGATGAAACGTTTCTCACACTGAAAACATCCAGATGAACAGAATCGACCTGGGATTTCCTTACCTGGATGATTGAGCATGCATCAAGAAAAATTATTCATCAAGGTATTAATATTCACGTTGAAGTACTGACTGTTTGTCAGAGGTCTTAAGAGGGCTGCACAGTAGACACCGCAGCGTCCAGGAGATGGAGCCAGAGCTACTCTGCTGCTTTCCCTCCACCTCCTGCTGCTCCTCTGAAGAAGCTCAGCTTCAGGATGCGTGTGTGTGTTTACAGTTTTTCTTAATTATAATAATTTTGAAAACTGAGTGGATCCCAGTTTCTTTAGGCAGGTCAAAGCAATCAAGAAAAACTGTAACATGTGTGCTGTGTGTGTGTATTTGTGTGTACCAAAGTTTAGGTAGCTTTATGAGGCCCAAAAGTTGGAATGCCACTATACTTGTGGGGAGCAACAGCCCTTATGGGGACATTTTGAAGGCATTTTTGAGACTCAAAATGTGGTTTTAGTGACTGGGTTACAGTTAGATTATGGTTAGGTTTAGGGTTAGGCGTTTATTGTGATGGGTGGGGTTAGGGTAAGCAGCTATGGAAAGCATAATATCAGTTAGATGGCCCCACAAAGATATGAAAACACAACTGTGTGTGTGTGTATTTAATATGTGTGCTGTGTCTTAGGGCGGAGCAGGAAGTATTATGTTGGAGGTTTAGAGCACTGCCAGATTCTGCCCCTTTCACCCTGTGAACTCGTTGCTATGGTGACAGTAACCGGCCGTGCTGCTCTGTGCTCTCAGCATCCTTCTCTGCAGTGATGTGTGTGTAAATTTATGTTTTGCCTCTTGGTGGTGGGGTTAAAAACAAGCCTCAGACGGTGTTCCTCCCTCTGTGCAGATCATTAACAGTGGCACGGTGAGACCTGATGCAGTGTTGGTCCTGACGGTCTGGAAGCAGGCAGCCTATCACCGAGCGGCATGACTAATCTGTGACCACAGTGGGACAGTCAGGGTGCTGGTTTCAGCTTTTAGGAGAATGAGCATTTAAAGTCATGAAGCTGCTGCTCTGTGTTTGATGCTGAAAGTCAAGGTAAAGTTGTCAGGTGGAGAGAGGTGGAGTTTTCAATACGAAATTAGATGTTATTGGGCGAACACAAGCTGAGGATCAGAGAGAAAAACAGGAGCACAAGGAGCGGATGTGAGGCCTTTACATCACAGACTGTTAGCTTTAGGAGGAAACTTCAGGCTTAGCTTGTATTTTCAGGTTTATGAAGTCAGTCTTTGAGTAAAACATAGGGCAGCAGCTGTTCTGGTCTGATGTAGGATTAAGCAGTCCTGGCTGCTGTTGTTGCTTTCATGATGCTCCAGATGTTCTTGGCTGGTCAAAGCTCTGCAGAGCAGGTGGGCCTGTCCAGCGGCTGGACTCTTCTCCTCTGAAGCCGTACTGCTGGAATGGATGCAGTCTACAGTTTAGCATCATCCCGGTCAAACACAGCAGCCTTCCTGAAAAAAGCATTTGTATGGAGCAGATGTTGCTCTAACACCTGTTTGTACCTTTGAGCACTGATGGAGCTCCATAGGCAGTGATGTCTTACAGTTCCGCTTCAGCTGGGTTTGTAAAATTCAGACACAGGTGGAAACAAGCAGCGAATCAGGAGGCAGGAAGTCAATCCATAGCAGGCAGGGAACAAAGACAAAGGCACTAGCACGCAGACGAGAGACGCCAACATTAGAAATATGAGGAATAATATAAAAGCCCAGAAATACTTTACAACAAACTGAGCAAAACATTTAAAACTGAGACACAGAAATGTTGTAATAAAGCTCAGTCTCAACGGTTAACACCGTTGTCTCTCAGGCTGGGAGTTTCCAGTTTCCTGTTTAAATAAAGGTTTTTGGGGTGACCGTGGCTCAGGGGGTTGGGAAGTGTATCTGTACCCGGAAGGTCGCCGGTTCGATCCCCGAGCTCTCTGTCCTGGTCGTTGTGTCCTTGGGCAAGACACTTCACCCTACCGCCTACTGGTGTTGGCCAGAGGGGCCGATGGCGCGATATGGCAGCCTCGCTTCTGTCAGTCTGCCCCAGGGCAGCTGTGGCTACAACTGTAGCTTGCCTCCACCAGTGTGTGAATGCGAGAGTGAATGAATAAGGGGCGATCGTGGCTCAAGAGTTGGGAGTTCGCCTTGTAATCGGAAGGTTGCCGGTTCGAGCTCCGGCTTGGACAGTCTCGGTCGTTGTGTCCTTGGGCAAGACACTTCACCCGTTGCCTACTGGTGGTGGTCAGAGGGCCCGGTGGCGCCAGTGTCCGGCAGCCTCGCCTCTGTCAGTGCGCCCCAGGGTGGCTGTGGCTACATTGTAGCTTGCCATCACCAGTGTGTGAATGTGTGTGTGAATGGGTGGATGACAGGTTGTGTAAAGCGCTTTGGGGTCCTTAGGGACTAGAAAGCGCTATACAAATACAGGCCATTTACCATTTACCATGAATAGTGGCATTGTAAAGCGCTTTGGGTGCCTTGAAAAGCGCTATATAAATCCAATCCATTATTATTAAAGTGTGACTGCATCCAAACGTGCTCTGTGAGTGAACAAGTGACACAGAGACAGCTTATTTAAACGTGCTCTGTGCTGGAGCTTCAGGCTCCAAACCAAACCAAAATGCCGAAACATGTTGAAACTGATGCTGAAAGAAGAGGAAGTGGAAGTCAAAATAGAAACCATCAAAAACACGCTGACTGGCGTGTGAAAGCAGCTGCTGGAAGAAACGTCAGCATCTGGAAGAAGAACTTTCAGAGTCGGAAGTTGGAGCTTTCACTTCTCTGTAGCACCAGTTGGCAGGCTAGGCTGTAATAATCCTCTGAGAGCTGCGAGTGGCTTGCTTAGTCACAATTAAAATAAAATGCTGGCAAAGCAGAAATGTTCCCTGTGATCGCAGCTGAAGCTTCTGTATGGTATGGAGACCACACTGAAACGATAATGATGATTATTTTCAGGGATCAGATTTACACATTAATGTGTATGTAGCTGAGTGCAGCGTGCGCTGTGAATGCCCTGAATCTGCCTGTGTGGGTGTGAAGGCCGAGTTGTGTCGGGTGCAGGCTGACATCACGGATGACCGTGCTGCTGCGAGGTGACAGCGCTCGCCCTGAGATCAGAGCAGATGTGGATCTGTAGTTTCATGATTGTCTAATGGATGTTTGTCCCAGAGTTGGGGGCGTGACTGTCTGCGTTCCCGCAGTAATGATGTGATGAGTTCAAAGGTCAGTGCAGTCTGTGAGCACCCCAGCAGAGATAATTTGTGAATATGAAACTCGCTCCTTACAGGTATGACAGTAATGATCACAGCAATGCAGGAAGTAGGCGGAGTCTGCAGATGCTGGGACAGTGAGTGGCATTGTGTAAGTGTGGTTACGTCAAAGGAGACTCTTTCTCGCGCTCTTCACTTCTGTTTTTCGTCAACTACAGGGAAGAGAAATAGAATTATCCCCCAGAGACCGGCCTGCTTTCACTTCTGATCACAGGCGCTATGAATAACAGCTAAACAGAAAAAGAAGTATTAATTCATTTTAATAAAAAGTTAAATATTAGAGGTAGCTTGTAACTGCTTATTTACCAGAGGTCCTGTGTGATTTCACAGTGTTTTATGGAATATTACACACAATATAGTCTGAGCGCAGCAGGAAAGCAGCCTGTCACTGAAGGACCTACCCAGTGATGTCACTGTGTCGTGGAATTGTGAACTAAAACCCAGAGGAATCTGTGGACCATCAGTGATGTGATAAAAAGCAGCGTGAGCTATAAAGCACCTGTTACACTGCAAAACAGGTCAAAACCCGAGGTCAAGAACACATTACCGTCCTTTGATTGGCCGGTCAGCCTTTTTATTTATTTTCTTCAGGGGAAGCTTATTGGTTCCGAGTGAGAGTGTAGTACTGTAGTCCACTACATTAAAAGGGCGCTGTTTCACTCAGTGATATGAGCGTTAGTGTTTTTCCATCCCACACAAACATTTTTAACCCTCAGAGCTAATTTATCGTCATATGAAAGATGGGAGAGATGTTTAAAAAGGGAATATCGTTACAGTAACAACACAAATAACATCCTAAAATGTTCATGTGGCGAATGGAGCCGCTGCTCAGGTGATTTCAGGTGTTTGAACAGGAGGACCTGGGCCAACCCAGCGCCTACTGCAGAGAGGACATCTCTCAGCTGGGAGAGGTTTAATGTTTCATCTGAAATGATGACTCTTTTTTTCTAAAAGTTTTATTGAATCTGTTTTAACCTTCTGTATCACTGCTTGGTATGGTAATATGTCTTTGAATAAAAAGGCCGGACTTAGTAACCTGGTTAAAGTGGCTGGTCGGATTTCAGAGAGATCTCAGGTCCAGCTTGTGGACTTCTATAACAGGCAGGTGTTGAGGAAGGCAACCTCTGTCATGTTGTGTTCAGATCACCCTCTCTTTAATGATTTTCAACTGCTTCCATCAGGTCGTTGGTATAAAGTGCCTGCAGTAAAGACAAACAGACATAAATTGTCTTTTGTACCTAGCGCTATTATCATGGTTATTAACACTAAACCATAAGGGTTGTTGCCATTGCACACTGCACTTTTTTTGAAGATAAAATTTAGGTCGTTACCGCTGGGCTTATTTTTGTGGGTATGTGTTGTGATTGTATGGACATACTACAAATCAATTTCCCATTGGGGACAATAAAGTTACCATTGAACCAAGCTGGATATGCAGCAAAAGGATGGATGGATATAGACAGATAATTACGCAGCACCTTTTGAGAAATTTAGTCATTTATTAACCGCACAGAAAAACAGCATTGTGATGATTGTTAACTATCTTTTTGTCCTTTTCTGTTTCAGAGTCGATGTTGATCCAGACCAAGACCTGCAGCCGTCTGCAGACAGCTTCCAGGTCCTGCAGGGGGTGAGCACCACTCACACATGCTTCTGTGCAGTTATTAGAGTTATTGGTTATCAGTGAGAGTTTTCCTTCCAAACCCATGAGTTTATTCACGCCTTACAATGAACTACGAATAATTATTTTCATATATAAGTGACTATGACGTAAAACCTCAGACCTTTGGAACCAGAAACATCACCAAGTATACACAGATTTTTTTTTAAAATTGATTGATTAATAAAAATGTAATATTTTTGCTGGTTCACTGATGTGAGAAAATATTTTTACATGTGTCAGTTGTCATGGAGTCTGAGTCTGTCTCTGCAGAGATTACCAATAAGTATGATTATTCATGATATTTAACTCACATTCTGTTTGTATTTTTTTTTAAAAAGCCCGCTCATTCAGCCTGGCTGAGTGAATTAAAAGGTGAAGCATTTTATCTTGATAGGCTGTTCTTCCCGTGAGTATAAAGCTGTGTTATCTGTGTGTGTTTGTCCAGGACGGGCCTCAGGCTGAAGGACAAAGTAAAACCAAGCAGGAGAGCGCATGGCTCTTCAGACTGTGGTACACGTTCGATCACAAGTATCCTTTCAGAGCTCTGTGGTCTCATCCAGGATGGTTCTGTCCTGTGTCCAAAGAATCGCCTCGGTTAAGAAGCCCATAAAATATGTTCCCCTGCTTGCTAACAGGCTGCAGTAAAGGTGTTTAGCTCCTCATGCACTTGGTCCCTCCCTGCTTCTCCCCTCTGCTGAGCGACGGTTTCCCCGGTGACTGACTGTGTTTTCCAGTTAACCCCCGCAGTGGCTTTGTCTATGAGACAAATGGGCAGCCTGCCCCTCCCTGCAGCGTCCACAGCGGCCTTTTCCCAGAGTGTGACAAAAGTGACAAAAACCTAAAAGTTTTATGTTCAACTGGTTTAAACCTGTTAGTCACTGGAGATTACCCTAACCTTAAACTATCAGGTTTATACATTTTTTTATTGGAGTCAGGGTCATCACAGCTGACACAGGTGTTAGAGCTTAACACTCGCTGTTAGGGTTAAAAGCCCCATTACTTCAGTTTTAAGATCTCCTTTAAGTGTAGTAAAGGTGCCTCACAGTGTGGACTAGCATAAATATCATTGATGAGCTAAAGTCGCCATAACCACTGATACATCCTAGTTTTCTCCAACATATGGACAGAAGTATTGATAAGCAGAATGGTTGGATGAATGGGTGGATGGATGAATAGGTGGATGGATGGATTGACAGGTGGGTGGATCATTACCATTTAAAGTGTTTAAGACTCAGTCAGCTGCTTGTCCTTAATAAACCTTCAGTTACCTGAAGCCCATTCTGACCCACAGTGGCCCGCCTCTCACCTCCACCCTACCCAGCTACTGCGGGCCGCTGGCGAGCTGTCTGACCACCCCCCGGGCGTACGAGGTGAGTGTCCACGTGCACACTAAGACAGCAAACTCACAGTGAGCAGTGAGTCTGTATGAAGTGTAGAACACCTCTGAGGGTGATGCAGAGAGCCTTCTAACATAAAAAACTGAAGGATCAAGCTCAAGTTCAGTGGTGGGCATGCCAGTTCTGGCGTTCTATGGCAAATGTCCGTCAGGTCCACGGTGCCGTGCAGTGAGTGCACTAGAAGGCACCGTGAACCTGACTGACATATGCCACCCCCATGAAGCTTGTGTTTGATTGGTTCATCAGAGACGTGGTGTGACCAGCTGGAGGTCTTTTTGTAGCTATTCCAGTGCTCGCCCTCTTCCTCCGTGTACAGAGGAGCAGATACTGGTCTATTGATGGGTTAAGGCCTTCTACGGCCCTGTCCAGCTCTCCTCCATGTTCTTGAGACTGTGCTGGGAGACGCTGCAAACCTGCTGGCAGTGGCACGTATTAATGTGCCACGCTGGAGGAGTTGAATGACCTCTGCAGCCTGTGTAGGGTCCAGGTGTTACCTCATGCTACGAGCAGTTACACTGACCCTAGCCAAATGCAAGACTAGTGAAAAACAGTCATAAAAGACGGGGAGGGGGAATTGAAAACCATTCCTGGTTTGGGGTTGTTGCCCCTCTATTGCACCCCCCTCTGATATATCCAGGAATTTAACTGACTTGATGCTGCACTCTGATTAAAAAGCACTCCCTTAATTTGTTAAGTGTATTAAAAGAATTCTACAAATAAATAATTATAAATAAATAATAATAATAAAGTACATGACGATGCCACCATTATTTTCATCTGTTCACGGACCATTCTAGCATCTCTGTCGCTTCTTTTTATTTACAGTTTGAGTGTCTGCCTTTTTTTTGGTTGAGTCAGCACATTTCCCAAAGACAAACCGCAAAACGATCAGCAGACATATATACCCCCCAGCTCACACTGTTATATTCACTACACAGTAACTTACACTGTGAATATTTCTGGACTACATTTATTTATTAAACTGATTCAGTGTTTTTAGCCCTGAAGATAACAGATCTCTGCTGGATTCATGAAGTTGAAATGCTGGAAAAATCATCTAGACTTGTTCAAAAACCCACTATTTTGTTCTTCCAGGACCTTTCAGGACCTGTAACTCTGTAAATATTTACAGCATGATATTACAGAAAAATCAGCTGATTGTGGTGTTGTGTGTGTTCATTTCAGCGCAGAAAAACTTCTTTAGGAGATGTTTTTCCACAGGAAGTGATTTCCGAGCCGTTCTGGGACACAGTGAGTGGTTAGGAGTCATTTTCTCTCGTTCTTTGTGCTCAGTGGGGAGCCGGCTCCTCAAGAAGGCTTCCTGTGAATACTGAAGCTCTCAGAGCCTGCCAGCCAGCACACAAAGAGCCGAGGCCTTCAGCGGCAGAGTAACTGGACGGTGGAAAAGCCTTTTGGCATTCAGCGAGCACAAAGGGCCTTTTCAGCTCCGCCTCAATGATGAGCACTGTAATGAAAGATATTTCAGCCACACAAGCAACCATTGAAGGCGCGGTCACACTTGGATGGACTCTGGCAAATTCCTCTTTTCATTTTCTGAGAGATTCCTGCTCAAAGAGGAGTTCAGCCCTCAGAGCTGGCTCGCATTCAGAGATCTGAACTGTAATTTGACTGTTTCTCGTTTCATTTATTTATCTGAATGTGCCTCCTATCCCGAGTCTGCTCACAGAAACGCTTCCCCTCCCAGTTTGTTGCTGCTGTTTGCCAGCGAGCGGCTGGCTGCCAGGCTCATGTAATCAGGCCCATCCAGGACTCTGTGTGGACACAGGAGATTAAATAAAGCTCCCCGTCTGCTTTCTCCTCCGCTTATAAATTTTATAAAACACAGAGGGGAACGAAACACGTGAAATGCGATCGCTCAAAATGTAATTCGGAACAGCAGATGTCTCACGGTCTGTAAAGGAGCTAAATGCAGTGAAAGCATCAATGCGCCGCTAACCCTAACCCTCCTGACGAACACTTTCATTTCAAAAGTGGCTCACAAATACGTAGTTCACATATTGCTCGTGTTCACAGAGGAAGTCAAAAGGAAGTGCGGTGGCTTAGTTTCACAACTAAAAAGATAAAGCTTTGCTCGGTTCGCCATGATTGCTGCTGCAGAGAAAGTGTTATGTAATTCTCTTGGATCCCTCTGTGAGAGTAATCCCCGCACTGACCCCCCGAGTTAACTCATCCCGTCCTCCCTGGGGGACCCCTGGCCAAATATTGATCCGCCAATCAGTTCAGACCCGGACTCGAGCGCCGTGCAGCGTGTGATTTGGAGCTTTAGATGCTCACAGGAAGCTGACCCAAATGTTTCAGCGATATCACTGAGCTCATTGATGTTTCACAGAGAAATCCTGTTTTCACGACTCTGTGTGCGTCTCAGACCTTTGAAAATTCATATCACTGAAGTACCTGAAAACTGTCACAAAGACGAATTACCAACAAAATTCACTCAAATAAAAACATACGTGTAGTTTCAGTTCTCCGGCCTGGAAAGTCTGAGAAGCAGGGGCAGATGTGTGATTTCTCTCCGATTAGAGGCAGCTCAGAGAAGCAGGGCGACAGTTGGAGGTTAATCCAGCCTAAATCTGCCCCTCCCCCGTGTAGATCCACTGTGTCCTCTGTGAGCCCTTGCACTCATGTCAGCGTGCTCGTGTGGTCATGCGTGTTTTTGCCACATGCGTCCCACATCTGTTCTCGTGTGGTCCCATTCTTCCCCTTCATGTTCTGCTTTGGCTTTGTTTTCAGAACCATGAGCAGCTGAGAGACCCGGACTCTGACCTGATCCGTGGCGACGCAGACTTGACCTTCACTTTCGGGGACACCGCCATCACCGCCAACGGGGCGTCTGGCAGTGGAGCGGACACTGCCGGGGGGTCGGGCTGGAGCGCGAATGGGAAAAGGAGCGGCAGCACATCAGAGGAGGCGCTGGAGCGTGAGCTGGACTCCCGCGAGCAGGAGCTGCTGAGCCGAGGGACGCGCCTCGTCTTCCCCATCGAGGACCATATCTGACCCCACCCGTCCCCGCCACCCGCACCCACCCCCCAACCACCTCATCCTCAGCTTTCTCCACATCCAGGAGGGCGGTCCTGCAGAGTGACTCTGAACTTCCTTTGGGATCACAACACCTCAGCTGGACAAAGTCTCTCTGACTCATTCTGTCATGTGACCCTGTCATGTAGACGGGCATCGCTGCACTCGCCTATGTCTGAATACTCCTCTTCCTCCTTGCTCCACACAGTGTCCGGGTGTCTGCTCTGGACGAATACGCAGTTAAAGAACTTTGTATTTCATTATGTCTCCAAAGGAAATGCTGATTTTTCAAAACAGACATGCAGTGTGCAGTCGGACTGCGGAGCTTCAACTTTTGGACAAGGATCAGAAGCAGCGCAGCAGCTGAGAAATGCTTTCACTGATGATACGCATGCAAAGATGGATGATTCTCCCAACATCCAGCAGGCTCTCGGTGACCTCTGGATGGATCCCCAGTGAGCAGGAGGTGTTGAGAGGCTTTACTGACTGCAAAGAGCGGGCACCTCCCATCGTAACTGCTCCTTAATGCTGCAGAGCTCCCTCCTCTATGTTCTCCTCCCTCTCTTTCCCCATGCACGTTTGGCAAAGCTGACTCATCCTCGGCAGTCAGCCGAAGAGAGCGGGCGGAGCTCGGTCACTCAGGCTTGTGCACAGAGATGATTTTAGAAGCAGATCTCACAGAGCGACCCTCTGCAGGCTCAAACGTGACCCCGGCGAGCAGCACACACCTGCGTCAGCTGTGTGTGCAGGTAAACAGGCGTGTGTGCGTCTGCTATGTAGCCTCCATACTCACTCGAAACACACGGTTCACTTATTGTTTTTCCCTCTGGACTCATTGTCAGGAGTGACATCACACTTTTGTTTTAGAAACGTGCTGCTGTGCATAATTTCTATAAAGTTCACTCTGTGTGTTTGTGTATGTGTGTGTCTGAGCAGAGAATCAGATGGCCCCGCTGTGGTTGCTGCGCTGGTGTGTGCATGCGCAGGAGCAGGTGTGAAAAGCACGGCTCCCAGCTTAGCACGAGGCTTTCAGATGCACAGCAGGAAACGAGTGTGCTTCTGTAAGCCGAGCTCTGCAGGGAGGGTCACTGACGCTGGTGTGAGACTGTGTAGGTGAGCTCATGGGGGAGCCATGTTCCCTCTGTCATGTGAAAGGTAGCGCACTAAACTGTGAGCGTGCTGCTCTGCACGAGTCCTAAAGGCAGTTGGCATGTTCGGCGCACTCTCTGCGAGGACGTGGGAAGCAAGCAAGACCGTCTCTGACCTTCCCGTGTCGGCAGGAGTACGTGAGAAATGTGATGCGTAGCCTAACTGTCAATGTATGCAACTGTTGTGTTTAGTAGCAGCTCTGCAGCCCGTCTGCATCCACTGTGGTCTGCATGTCAGCATGTCAATAAAATCTCAAGTTCTCACCCAGTGCTGCCGCATTTTGTGGTGTTTACAAATCCACTCGCACTCCGTGTTTGTGGCTGTGTGTGTGTCAGCAGATTGGGAGGCAGGAGATTGGTGTATTTTTGAACACGCAGATATTTTCAGGCATTCAAAATAAAAATTCAGTCAGGGAAATGAAAAAGGTGTAAACACTATCTGATATGTGATGTTATTAAAACACAGCTGACCTGTTTTCACGATGCTCTCAAAAAAAAAAGAAAAAAAAAGATTCACTTCCTTTGAGATCAAAGTGTAAAGTCTGATGACCTGTCCAATTTATGAGTTGAATATTTCACGAGATCATATTGAGTCCTGTTGTATTATTAACCCGAGTGCATCAGAGTGATGCAGCTTATTCTGAGTTGCGGTAATCAAGCAGGATGTTCATGTTGGAACACCCACATATCACACAGACCGCCTGCACTTATGTTGTAATCGTGGCAGTAAAATAACAAAATAATTTGAATCTTTCAGGATTGATTTGGATCTTCTCAGTAATGTGAAGCTCATGTGCTAACAGAGCTAATCCCTTCTCTCCGGCTTCAGTACCTTGTGCTACTGTGATACACCGAATATTCCCGTCCTTATATGCTCATTTCATGCTTCTGTTTGTGATGGGCATTCAATCAGGAAGCCCTCAAACTGGGAGGAGCTAAATGAGCTTGCTTCAGAGAGTGACCTGAGGCCTGGGATCAGATAAAGAAGGATTATTTTGTGAGTTATGCTAAGCTGCTCTGTAAGAGTCCGAGAACAGAAACTTGGAGCTGGAGATGAGTTTGTGTCCATTCAGTTCAACCAGAACAGCCAAACAAATGAATATGAATGAACTTTGACGTGCTGATAAATGAACCTACAGATAATGTGGCTTAGCATTAACAATCATACACAAGCTCTTTATGGAGTGTGTCAGCTTTTTATTCTTTGAGTCGCTTTGAAGTTATTTTTCTTTCAGTGCCAACAAAAAGTACAGAAACAACCTCTGAGCCTCACATATGGGAGGTGGGGGCAACCTCCCAAGACTTTGAGATACCCCTACCACCGAGTCATGTCTTCAAAGACATACGCAGGACATTAGCTGAGGAAAATAAAGCGGACTTTGCTCACAGACTGTGCTGCTGTGTGAGCTTCCATTATCAAATCTTTAAGTGCTCCACCTCCCACCTGCCCTTCTGCTCCACAGTATTTAACCTTGTGAGCTACAACAGCTCATTGGTCGCTGAACCAACCACGGCCAAATCCAAGTGTACACACGTAACAAACTGTTTGTACGAATCCTGTAACAGTGAATCAACTTTTTAAATACACAAAAAAAAATTCAGCTTTCTGTCTGTCTGGCTCCGTGAGCTGGCTACAGGGCTGCAGACCTGGGTCCATGTCTGTCTGTGCACAGAAGCTGCTGGAGGTTTGGAGGTGAGAGGGGTATCTCAAACACTAAAGCCCTTCTGGAGGCTTGGGTTACAACATTTACAGCATTTTCGAAGAAAACAACAGGGCCCTGCACCCTAAACTGTGTGAGGACGGAGGAATCTTACACCCATGTGAGTGTTTTGTCAGAGAAGTGCACATTCCTGAGAGGCCGGGGGGAGGGTTAGAGAGGAGAGTAGCCTCTCCAAAATACTGCAGTTCTTCTTCACTGCTCTACATTAGTGCTATTAGTGAGTACCACAAACACTGGCGATCTCTGCCACGCTGAGTCGCAAGCCAGACAGATGAGTCACACAGGTGACAGCGAAGCCGGCGCTCTGATCTTGGCAGTCACCTCCTGAGGAGGAACATCCGGGGCGTGCAGGGCTGGTGTCCAACAGAAACCAGGAAAAATGAGCCGCCGCCTCCTTGTTCCAAATTGTCCGCCTGTGATTGGCTGCTCTTTTGCTCAGATTTTCTCCAGTTCATCAGCCCGGCTCGGCCGAAGGAAAACAGTCCTCGAGTCACGCCTGAGAACTCCTCAAGGAACACATTCCAGCTGCTCGTTTAGTTAGACCACCTTCTGACCTCAGACTGAACACCACGACCCTGGAAGAAGAAGAAAAAAAATCAGCTGAGGATTAAAAATAAATCTGAAGTTGTGAGCGAGCTGCAGTCAGCAAGACTAGGAGCCCTGAAGGCGCTTTGTTCCCACAGAACGATAATGAGTGGCTGTTTGTCACTCGGGGAACACGGCGTCCTTTCCTGTAGCAGTTTCCTCGTCATGGGGTTTCAAAAACTTTTTGTGAACAAGATGCTCTCATGATGCCACTGACCCGCCAATCGGTGGCATGCAGCCTGTTGTCACATTCTAGTACCTGGTATCAGGTACTAAAACCCTGAAAACCGTGGCCAGTCGATCTGGTACTAATGGCTTCATAATCATACTGCTCAACTTGAGCACTCACAGCACTTTATACAACATGCCTCATTCACCCTTTCATACACATTCACACAAGCACTTTTTCCATGCTTAAGGCTTTCTAACGTTCACACGCTGAAGGTTCAGTGTCCTGCACAAGAATATTTGTCATGCAGACTAAAGCAGCTGAGAGAACGAGAAAGGTCTAAATACTCTGATAACAAAAAGGAAGTAACCAAGACAAACTTAACCAGAGACACGAGGACAAGACGGAGGGACGAATCTGAACAAAAGAAAAAAGGAACCAAAACTCGTTCATCCATCCATATTATCTTATTCAGGGTCAAACATCCACCAAAACAGAACCAGTGATGATGATCTATCTGTGAAGACAGGAACGTTTAAGTCTTAAATAATTAGCCTGAATCACTCTGAGGATGTTTGTTAGAATAAAAACAATGTTATATGAAGAGTTTCCAGTGAAAACAGTGAGCGAATAACCTGCTTTTTTTTTTTTTTAACAAATCACAACAGTCCAGGCGCTTTATATTGTAAGGTAAAGACCCTAATATAATACAGAGAAACTCCAACAATCACAAGACCCCCTATGAGCAAGCACACTAGTGACAGTGGGAAGGAAAAACTCCCTTTTAACAGGAAGAAACCTCCGGCAGAACCAGGCTCAGGGAGGGGCGGTCATCTGCTGGTGAGAAAGACAGGGCAGAGATAGGGCTGTGCAATATGATGAAAATCTTATATCTCGATATAGGACATTTCTCATCCCGATAACGATAAATATCACAAAATAGTGCATTTTCTGTAAATTCTGTGAATCTTGGGCAACTTTACTTGTGTGAAGTGTTTTGACCGATGCATGAAACATATATTTTTAGATATAAGTTGTAACGGCTTCTATTTTCTTTGAGAGTATTTATTACATGGCGTGCTGCAGGGAAAAGCCTCTAACATTTGAGTCTAAGGTTTATTTGGAGCACCTGACGGCTCTTTTTTGCTTCTCACCCGTAAACTCTCTCCATACTCTTTCAGGTGATTCTTGCGTAGGTGGTAAAAGAGAAAAAACACAGAGACACATTGTGGAACATTAGGATTAATAAAGAAGGTTACTAATAAAGGAGACATTTCTGTGACCGTTGTTGGGGTCAAAGGTCATAAAGTGTTTTGTTTGTTTTTTTTCAGCATTCTTCTATAACACTGTGGGGACGTTTTATAAAATGATTCCAACTTCAGGTCAATATCTAATCAACAGAGCGAACGTTTAACCATTAACGTTTAAATGACAAACATTCCTCAGACGTTCTTGGAACATTCAGACTTTGTGACGTAACACTGCGCAGGCATTGTGGGGACGTTTCTGTAGCTTGCGTGGCTCTCACAGCACCCTTAAAGGTCGTGTCTGTGGGAGCCTGCGGTGACAGCCGCGCTGTCGCCCTGGAGCTCTACCCAGTCACGTACAGTCTCACACAATGATGCCCTTCTTGACAGCTCGCTGCAGTTCCTCCCCCCATAAGAGGAGCCAGCAATGCCAGAGACAGAACAAAGAGGCCTCTATGGAGGAGCAGGTCATTAAAGGGAGGGGGGACTTCTCTCTCTGTCTTTGACATGTTGTGATTGTATGACAAAGTGGGTGAGAACACCATTTGTCCAGATTTGAAGCTTGCTATTCTTAGTTAACATTCTTGCTTTGATTTTGCCATACCATATGTTTGTTCTGTAGTTTGCAAAGATTTACTATACCGGGTTTGTTTATGTTTTGCACTTTTACAGTTTATGTAATATAACATCTTGGTTTAAATCAACATTGACAAGTTTGTTAAGTTAACATTTTATTTATTTCAACTGTTAATTTGTCTAGTTTATTTGGTTTGAACTCACCTGACTTACCGGTGTTCCAGGAGCAAAAGGAGGAAGTGCTGCCTCACTTCCTGTATTTATAGCTTCCTGTTTAGCTTCTGACGTCACGGGAAGGGAACAGGTGAAGAGGGGGGAGAACTGGTTTAATTTAATAGAGTCAATTTTAGGATTATGTTTGTTTGAGAGAGATATATTGATGTAACATGTATTGGCTACACCGTAGTCTCTTTTATTGCTAGTAAAGAGTAGCATCATGAGTTTATGAGAATGGTAATGTTTATCTTACCTACTGAATGGAATAGTCCGGAGGAGGATATTGTTTAGATTGCTTGAGTATTTAAGTAGAAGAACTCAGGTGTTCAAAAGGAGAGGACCAGGTCAGTTTAGCTGAGTGCACTTGACATTAAATTTTGTTGGTTTAAGTTCAGTTATGTTTATTTCTACCAAGTTAACTTCGGAGTTGAGTTTTTCTTTATTTTTGTAAATATTTTTGGTCACAGTGATGTTAAACAAATCATTTGCTACCCTGGACAGCATCTGTCTCCTGCCCTTCTTCAGCCACACAAGCTATTTTACAGATTGACTGAGTTAAATCTGGGACATATTAACAGACCGGGATCGTTATCTGACCATCAGAGCAAAGTGCAGCCGCTTACACAAAACACTGCTGTAAACCATCAACGACACGATTAAAGTTTAATTCAATCAGCACCATCGAAACATGAAACACGCTTTAGTTCTTCCACAGAACCGCACATCCCTGACTCCCGCACCCATAAGGTCTTTGTGATGGAATCACCAAATCGCCTTCCTCCATGTTCCCATCGAGTTCTGCAGTGCTTGTTTTCCTACCTGTGCTTCAGAAAACACACACTAACACATCACAGCATCACACACGCTCCAACAACCACACTACACGAACTACACAACACACCTAACGTCAGCGCTTCTGTTCTCTACAGGTGGTACCTGTATCTGAGGGAGGCTGACACCCCACAAATCAGGAGTCACGCTGCACACATCCACACCGAGTTTGTTCACATGAACTACAGACACACACACACAGTCCTAGAAACACACAGACACACACAGACAGAGACACACACAGACTCGACCCAGCCTTCATTTAAACAGTCTGACCTCTGACCTTTGTGGTCGTGTTTTGATGTGGAAACATTGGAAACAATGTTTCCACATCTAGCCGAGGACACAACGTCATCAGCTCTGCACGCACACCGCTGCTTCCTATTAACACGCAGACAACCTGAAAGAGAACTTCCTCCTGCACGGTTCATGCCATCAGTGGCAAGTGTAAGTTTCCTCTAACACCTGCTTCCTTTCTTAGCCCAATGCTCTGTCTCCAACCACACCTGAATCTTTAAATATGCCCCATACACCCAGCAGCCTCAGACCTCTTTGCTTACTGTGAGCTTGATAAGGTCACCATGTTACATCCTGTCTGTGTAGGTGTGTTTCCTGATGCAGGAACAGCTGTTAGACACTACACTGTGAACAGGTGAGTGCAGTCCTGATTGAGTTTTGTTAAGCGCTGTGGATTGTATCGCTGTCACTGACGCGGCTTTAACCTGGAACTATAGTGCGTACAGGTGATGTTACAGACTTACAGGTTTTACCCACAGACACAAATTCATGCCCTCATCGACTCTCATGTTCACATCACCTCCAACAACAATCCGGGCGACGGGGTAATCTGGCTGTCACTTCTTAGAGTCTGGTTCAGTTTATTTTTTTTCTCTCGTTTTGTTCACCAGACGAGGACTCGGACCCGAAGCTGGGCTCAACGCTGGAGCGAAAGCTCCATCGGCAACTGTGACACAGCTAAACCACCTGCAAACATCTGCTTTTATAGAATATTACCATTTAAATTTTGAATCTAAATGATGTTCTTGTTGGTTTTGTGCTGTTTGGTGACACAATTATGACCATTACTATCTGCTACTACCTTTTGTTTGCATTTTATGTCAGAAATAAAATTTCACTGCATCCCGCCTCACTCGTGTCACTTCCTGTCATTAACAGGAAGATGCTCTTGCCAGAGCATCATCTCCTCTGAGATAAACAAACCATTTCCTTTGTTTTTTTAATCGAACTGAAGGAAGAACAGCTACATGACAGTCTGGGGTTAAGACATGTGACATGCCCTGTCATCACTGGAGGCTGTGATGTATGAAAGTCTTAGTTTCACCTGTATTGTGATCCAAGCAGGTCAGGTCAGAGGTCTCAGATCAGCAACATAAACAGGCGCTTGTCAGCTTACCTCGGCCCACAGCTCTGTCAGGACGCTGTGTCCTCCTCGTGCGTCTTCTGGTAGCCCAGCTGCCTCATGACCTCGCCACAGGACGCCTCCACCTGACTGATCTGCTCCACGCTCAGCCGCTCCCTCCAGGCGTGGACAGCCTCCTTGGCGTCGCGGGAGGAGATGAGGAATGGTCTGTCGGAAGAGTAGCCGTGCCCGCGTGTCATATTGAGCGCAAAGCTCTCGAGCGCGGCAGACGCGGGCAGGTCAGCGAAGCGGAGCAGCCTGCGTAGCTGCTCGGCCGGCCTCAGCACCAGGTCCTCGTAACGCAGGCGCAGGTAGCGGCTGCGCAGCCAGGGCGGTGCGCGCAGCTGCAGCAGCAGGTCGCGCAACCAGCCGTCACAGATGAGCTCCAGGGCGCCCGACACGTAGTTCTCCGCGCGCGTCGCACGGTTCGCGGGCGCAAGCAACCGCTTGTACCTGTCGCTCTGTCTGCGGCTGCGCAGCACCTGGATGCTCTCCTTCACCAGAGCGTGCTTCGACTTCAGACGCGAGTTGTGCACGGCGCGCGGGTCCCGGAACAGCTGCACGACGCGCAGGTTCACACTGGGGTCCCGCATCAGCGGCACGAGCGTGCCCAGGTCCAGCACACGCACACCTTTGATCACCATCACCGGGTACTTCCGGCACTCGCGCTCCAGCTCGCGCAGCTCCCTTCGCGGACACTGCGCGCACAGCTCCTCCTTCACCAGTCCCACCTCGTGGCGCCGGTGCGCGCGGCACAGCGGTTCGGAGCAAAGCACCTTGTTGGTCTTCCAGCCGAAGATGAAAGCGCTGCTCACGTTCTGCCCGCCCGCGTACAGCCGCAGCACCGAGAAGTCACAGCGGAAGAGTGCGCTCATCATGTCGCGCACGGCACCCTGCAGGCTCTGCGCGTCCCCAGGGTACAGCGCCTGCCAGATGTGCCACATGGGCTCATACAGGTAGAACACGTCCGGGTGCTGGTTGAACAGCTCGCCCAAGAAGGAGGAGCCGGTCCTCCAGGTGGCGTGCAGGTAGACATGGATCCGTGGCTGGCTGCGGTTAGAGGCGGGCTCGGTCGCCGGCTCGCTGCCGTTGGGACCCCCAGCGTCCTCCCACGGCAATTCCAGCTCCGGGCAGCGGGGCTGGAGCTGCGCCGCCGGCCGGGTCGCCCGGTCCCGAGAGTCAAGCACGTAGGGCAGAAGCAGCAGCAGTCCGGTGTAGGCCAGGATCAGCAGCAGGTACTTCTTGTTTAGCCTCCTCTTCATCTCCGCGCAGGGTCGCTGCTGTACGGAGTGTTAGCCACGCCCCCTGCCGCTTCGTCTGAGTAGAAACACCAGCACCGCTGTCTCACGCCGGTACTACTGTCGTCCACCGTCTCTGTGAGTTAAGAGTGCGCAGTGTGGGGGCGGGACTTGTTGACGCCGACAACAGAGAGCATCGAAGGAAAGAGGCGTCCACCAAAAGCACCCGCCCGTGAGCGCGCTGAATTATGGGAACCCCAGTGTTTCAGCGCACTCGCCGCCTTCTGTGAGCGCTTTAAGCTAATAGCATAGCTCATGAGTTCACAGAGGGCGCTAGCGAGTCTATAGCTGTAGAACAAAACTGCTATGAACCTTTTTCTTCTGGAAACATAGAGTGTTAAGAATGTGTAAGTATTCGAATATAGAGAAATAAATACAGTCAAATCAAAAGTTATTTACAGGCTTTTATTTTCGTAAAATCTTCTATTGTACATATGTGAGCATGACCTGAGCATCTGCAGAGAATCATCACCATCACCACGGGGGCTTTTGACTGCGCTCCTCACCTGGTAAACAGGCGATATGAAGATAGCGCGTCCTCTCGTTGACCCGTGCGAGCATTATCCGGGTCCCTGCAAGAACTAAACCATGGACTTGCTGTCTAGAAGCATCTTCACGTACTCATTTTAGTCCTTTAACGTATTTCAGTGCTTTTTGTTTACTAGTGCCTGTGCGGCCTCTGCTGCTCATACGGATGCATTACCGCCATTTTCCTACGTAGATTCACAGAAAGTGGAATATTCAGTTTTTGTCATTTTTTGTACCGACTGAGAAACGAGGTTTAACTACTTTAAAACAGTAAAAAATAAAAACGGAAACTTATTTGATTTGTTTTTGCGCATGCTCAGTGCTACTTGTTTGTTATGGAGGTGGGGCTAACGCTGCGCGGTCCTGTAGGAATCAATGGAGGAGACAGCCATTTGTCTATAATGGCGCATTTAAGACATCTCCGGCGCTGTTAGCCTGTTCGCGGGTGGAAACCGCGGGCTGGAAGCAGACCGACAGGCCGCTTCGATCTGTGCCCGTTCACGGGGACTGCAGCCCGGCTGACAGCGTCAACATGGCGCACTGGAGCACCTTCGAAAAGGAGAGTGAGAGAGAGACGAAGCGGCTGATCAGGTGTCTCAGCGGGATCGAGGATGAGGAGGACCAAAACTTCCAGCTGGCGCTCAAATTCGCCTGGTCCAACTTTAAGTGAGTTTTTACGGGTGTGCGGGGGAGCAGGCTGCTGCACACAGCGTCCTAACATCCGCCTCGTGTCTCCTCAGGTTTCATCGATATCTGGACACAGACAGCCACAAAGTGGAGCGCAGTGTCAGCGGGTGAGTGACTCCTTCAAAACAGTGAAGTCTGAGCAAACTAAACATGTGTATGTTCTCCTTCAGGGCTCTGCATGTCCTCCTGTCCCAGAATCATCCTCTGTCACTGCACCCCTCTGCTTGTCCCCCTTCGCTACATCCACCAACCTCCCCTGAGTTCTTCTTCTCCTCCTGCCTGGCAGCTCCATCGTCATCCTCCGCTCTTCGTCTCCAGCTAACGTTATGGTATAGTGACAGTCTGCCCTGTTTTCCAGAATCTACGAGAAGCTCGTGGTGCACTCGGACCTACAGAAAGCAGAAAGCTGGATGAGACTGACTGAAGAATTCCTGAACTCACCTTTACCGAACACAGATGGGGAAAAGGTAGCGCACAGCTGTTTTCTGCTCTATCACAGACGGATACGCGATCAATACTCATGCGCGACACCAGTCAATGCTGGCATGCTGCATCATATTCTAGCGTGAAACTTGTGAACGAAAGTCAGAGGGGATTTTGGATGGATGAAGGTAATAAGTGTAAACTTGCAATCAATAAACAGTCACATTAGTCTTTTCAAGTCAAGTAGCTTTATTGTCATTCCCACCATGCGTCGTCGTACAGTACACAGTGAAGCGAGACAGCATTCCTCCAAGACCATGGTGCTACATATATCAGACGATCAACACAAGACTACATAAAGTGTGCAAGAAACCAAAACAAAGACAGAACGATACAGACACAGCAGTGCAAGAGAAAAGTGCACAGTAATAAAGTGTGCGCTAGTTTTCTGACAGATGATGCAGCCCTAATGGGCCAGTATCACATGTTACACACACAGTTTTCTGGTGTGTCGGGCTCAAACATTGAAACATGACTGCAATGATGTGAGAATATCTCAGTGAAACATGATCTGTGTTTCCTCAGACCGATGCACACTACAGCATACTGTCACTGCTGCTCTGCCTGTCGGGATCCCCCTCAAACACAGACTTCACAGAGCGACCCAGGCTGAAGGAGGCCGGTGAGAACCGCATTCTTCCCTTTATTTGTGACCAACGTGTCAACACATTCTGAATTCATTAATTCTGCTTTTCTCAGGTTGGAGTTGGAAACACAAACAGTACAAACAGAACCTTTTTCACATATTCTTCCAAAGCAGTTTTTTCTCTCTCATTAAAAGTAGAACCTTTTAAACCAAAGCTTTGTTTTAGTGAATCCCACATTACAGATGCTAATGATGCTTTGACACCAGGATCAGAGAACAGATTCCAGTGACGTCGTCACAGTCACGCCCATGTTTCTGTTTCAGAGTCAGAGCGAAAGCTTCAGCAGCAGGAAAATATGCCCACCGTGTTTCGCTGCACAACATCAGTGCAGTGATTATAAGTTCACTTCATGTCAAAGGCCAAATGATTTGTTTCCAGATAACCTTAGCACTTAGCCTTGAAGGCTAAAAATCACACAGTTTATGTTAATCTTTCAGTCTTATGTCTGCAGAACCGGAGGACAAGTTTGACTGGGCTAAATATCTGATGGAGGGCGAGGATGCAGACATGGGGCCGTACCCAGACACACCTGTGAGTCACCGAGCCCACCTTTATGAATGCAGAGCTGTTTCTGATTCTCTGATCGAAAACCCGGTGTCAGCGGGTTTTTGCTCAGGGTGATCTGGTGCAACTGTGGTGTGGTGCAACATGAACACCACACCACAGTCACATGACTTTAACATCATCACTAACCTGTGTTCACAGGCAGAAAAACAAAACTCATTTCTGACCCACAAGTACAAACCCAGAAAAGCTCCAACAAAGTCAGACGCTAAAAAAACCTAAAGAAAGTCACATTTTCTTCACTGTAGAACAGAAAAGGCTGTTTTGAATCAAACGCGAACTTGTGTTGAATCTGACGGCAGCGTCACGTCTGTAAAGTAGGACAGGTCTGTGCTTCCTCTCTGACATCAGTCTGTGATGGTCTGTGAACTGAGGACAGCAGCTGGTCTGATCTGATTGAGGATTCCAGCTGCTCGGCAGTCCCGGCTGTGTTTCATCCTGTTTCACAACGCTCTAGATGTTGTCGGCCGGTCAGAGGTCTGAACTGCAGGTGGGCCAGACTCTTCTCCTCTGAAGCCATGCTGATGATTCTGACCTGAGATCAGTTTCTGCTTTGCCTTGGTCCATTTTAAAGAGGAGCCGGCGCCGTTTCTCGATCATGGTCACACGTGGCTTCGTGTCAGTATGACGAAGCTGTAACCAGCATGTGTGGATGGCACGCCGAGCTACTCGCAGACGCTGGTTTATGGAAATATTCCTGAGCCGTGCACAGATTTATCACAGAGCAGTGTTTCTGCTGAAGGTTACAGTCATCAGCCTGTGCACAGAGAGCACACTCAGATCCTCCGAGTGTGCTGATGATGTCAAGTTGTGTAGATGATGAGATGTTCACAGCGTGGACTGTGATTCTTAAATAGGTTGGTGAACCTCTGAGAAGCTCCGCCTCTCTGAGATGATCTTTTTCTACCTGATCACGTGACCGACCTGCTGCCAGCTCACCTTTGATCTTCTCTTTAGCATCTCTGACTTTCACACACTTTTGTTGCTCCGTCCCATATTTTAGGGTGTCGCTGTCGCCAAATTCCACATGAGCTCAGATTTGTCACAAAGCAGTAACATGTCTCATTTTGAGTATTTACTGTGTTTTCTGTGTTCTATTGTGGATAAAATATGAGTTTATGGGATTTGCAGATCATTGCATTCTGCTTTTATATATTTTAGGAAGTGTCCTGGTTTGTATTATACTGAGCACAGTACCTACAGGCGTATTACAGGTAAGCTGTGCCCATCAGTGTTTCCTGTTTCATAGGAGTGGTCTGAGGAGGAGAGCGAGGATGATGACAGTCAGCAGCCAATCAGCAGGGAGGACTCTGGGATCCAGCTGGACAGGACGCCTCAGGAGGACCAGGACAACGCCAACAAAACCGTTCCAGTCACGTGGACAGGTGCGAAGCAGTCACACAGCAGAAGGTGCAGGTCTTTATAACGTTTCCACCAAATGAGAGGAAGGAGCTTCTGGTTTGTTTTCTGTTCAGTCACAAAAGCTGAACAGAAAACGTTGATGTCACTACCCAGAATGCGCTGCAGTGTAAGCGACTCGGACATGGAGGGTGTTTTATTGTCACGCTGAACCTTTTCCCCATGTTTCCTCTCAGTGGGGGAGCCTGACGCTAGGGCCTGGCTGGAGCAGCATCTGGTGACCCCGTACTGGGCATCGCACGCACCTCGTTTTCCTCACAGCCTGCATCTGCACTCCAACCTCCTCAATGTGTGGTGAGCTCATCCTCAATGATAGTTAAAAATTAATATACAGCGTCCTACCTGTGGGGAGAACATTTGGACATGGAAGCCCCCCCAGGGGAAGAGCTGGGAGAGGGATGCCTGGGTGCAGTTGGGGGAGGAGCTATAGTTTGAAATTAGAGTATTTGGTGCTGATGCTGCATTTATCCCCTCAGGGATCAGCACCTGTATAACACGGACCCACTGTACCTGCCAGAAGAGAAGGCCTTCGTCACAGAGACGCAAGTAATTCGAGAAACGCTGTGGTAAGAGATGACGACAGTCGCCTGCAGGTCGCCACACGCCGAGATCAGGTTTGTGTTGAGAGTGGGTTCAGGGTCCTGCTGACTGTGTGAGTTTCTTCCGGCAGGCTTCTCTCTGGGGTCAATAAACACTTCATATTCCAGCAGCACGACGGAAAGGTGTCAGTCAGAAGTAATGTGGTGGTGACTCATCTGACCGGCGTGAGTTCACATCTGACGGAGG